AGTTAGACTTTTTTGAATTGTCAATATTTTATACTAAATAAAATAGGAGCCAATTTAATGTGAAGGATGATTACATTATTTTATTATCATTAAAATTCATGGTATCATGAATATTTCACAAACGATTATAATCAAATTATTCAAAAATATACGAGTAACACAAAAAGAAATGCGTAACAAAACATAGCGTGCAGCACAACACTCTCGTTTTCGTGAGCATTCAGAAAATTTTCATACCATTTGGAATATTAGGGATTCTTTCGAAATAGCGTTCTTTTGAAACAATTTGTTAATTTATCGAAACCGATTTCTGGTTCGATTGGTTTGGTCCAATGATAATTCCTGAAGTTGTCCGTAGGCTAAACTGCTAGCGACGAAGTGCACCTGCCCGCTTTGATTTATTATGGATTCAGTATTAATTTGATATCCCTTTTTGCCTTAGCCCCTTGAGCGATCGGAACGAGTGGGCATCGCCACTCTCCATTATATGTGGTCTCACCGCAATCATAATTGCATATGAGCCCGGAGATAAAATATCCAATGCGAAAATAATTCATATCCGACAATATGTTTGCAAATTACCATGTCGCCTTTTGTCGTGGAAAGGAGTGTAATTAAAGGGAACTTTTTCATTTATGTCCCAGTAAAAGGCTTGAAGCTTGCCGTAAACAGTAAAGTTACTACAGAGTCAATTAAAATTTGTATTATTATTTGATTTTATACATGTTCCGCTGCACGATCATGAATATCAAACTGGTACTTTTAAATTATTGACAAGATCTTAACTTAAATTACATAAGCTTACTCTTAAATTAGACTTCGACAATAAATATTAAAGTTCTTGGTGTATAATTATTTAGTGTTGTTAACGTCATCTTATCCTCGGTCCCGTATATTATAAAAATTAATTTACAATCTATATTTTTAGGAACATCAAAACAGAGTCTACGATCTGACTAAAATTACAATAATATTGATAACGTTAGAAATATTGCTAAAGTTCCTGCCTTCTAAATAAAGCATCGTTTTCCCATCATCCCACGAACCAGTTTTTCATACCGAGAAATTACACAGCAGTATAGAAAATTAATGATAGTAGTGCTTATGTTCATATACCTACTCGTTAAATATGTTACGTGTATTTATATCTCGTAGCTCAGAATGCTCAGATACAGGTTTATGGCGTGAACGTTGTTGTATATTCGAACGCATCACATATTCTGATGGGAAACATCGAATGTGCTTTATTATTAACTAAAGAATTTCGGGCCGACCCGATGATTAAAGATGCATAATGCCGTTTTAATATTGAAAATGTAGATTTTGATTAAGCTTGCGTGGAATCTTTTTTTCTACTTGATGAGGATTAGATGGCATTAGTTAGTTCAAATAATGATTTAAAAAAACATTTATAGAATCAAAGTCAGTCCCATCAACTTAGCCATCGACCTATTAATGTTTTCACTACTGCAGCAAATAGCTTCCCTATAGATGAAATAAGGAGGTAGGTCCATGACCCATCATACGAACCCAGTGCTGAATGGAACGTGAGTTATACTAACTTAATACATAAATAATAATTCCCGTCTAAAATCAAACATGCTTAAAGTCAAATTAAAATAAAAACACTGTACCCACAAAATTATGCATGCCTTGATCGATTTAAGTAGTTATGTTTTCACAAAAAAATTATAAAATTCCGATCACGCGTCGATTCCTTTGATCGGTTTTCGATAAGACCGGTACGGTCATTAAATAACTTTTTTCATATTTACGTAAGCCAGTTACTTTAAATATTCATGATTTTAAAATAAATCGTTAATGTAATGTATGGTTTTAATGATGACTACGTATACTTGTGAAACTGGCTTAGATGAAAACGTCTTGGGCGTCGATAAGATGATTGCGAGTATGTCTTCAATTACGGAGATTGCAATGTTCAACAATTACGTAGCTCAAGTTAGTTGCGGTGTGCTGCTTATCTTGTTTATTTATTTACTTACAACAAACAACTACGTGATGAAAATACGATTTGACAATTTCACGATTAACGATTTGTTAATAATAAAACACACTGTATAAAAATTTTCATATCTTTATAAATAATATTTGTTAAAAAGCAGTAGGCATTCAATTTGTTTCCACGGCGAAAAAAATGATATAATCTAATGTTTTTTACGAACAAAGATTAAAATACGAATCCTATTTAAATTACTTTTGTATGTCAGTGTAAATGAGTGTGTATGGGTGAAATGTTTTAAAATTATGCTTTACGTTATAGAACATAATAAATTTGCTACGGCTATGGTTATGCAGCTTCGGAGAAACATGTAATTGCGAGTTATCCTTCGCGGGTCAAAATTGCATTATTTTTTTGTGTTAGGGTTATTAATTGTGGCGCGGAATATAATAACCGTACATTATGGAGGTTTGATGCATCTCGATTATATATATATAATTTTGTATGCGACAAAAAACGCAAGTAGGTATTCATAACAACCAAAACAATGGTGAATACAAGCATGACTGCGTCATAAAGTACTTAGTATGAGGTAAAATTTATCCTTGTTATAATTTTTAAAGAAGGAACTCGTAAGTCCAACGAAAGTATTGTATTTGTAAAACAAAAACTCTTTGGTAAAATAGAACAAGGAATCAATTAAGTTTTATGAACTGGAGAATTGCGTGTAAATTACACGTGCTACTAATAGCAATTAGGGTAACGCTGTAACCAATATTAAAAAATGAATCTTATTCCATTAGCTTTAAATCCGCTGTACTAAAATATTTGACGCTTAAATGGGGCTTCAAAAAACCTCTAGACTTTTTGTCACGATTTTATTCAATGCCTTTATCGGCAATTGAAGAATGATAACACAACGAAATAGTCTGAACTAGTAACTAGTATTAAATTGCCTCAGAAGTTGTACATACTAGTTTGGGTTTGTAGCGTCAGCAAACACGTGCGTATAAATTATTTTTAAATCATCGTCGATATTTAATTTATGTATTGAACAAAACTAAAACTTACTAAATAGTACTGCTCTGTGCAAGTATTTTTCAAAAAACATTTTATTTTTGTCATAATTAGCGATCGGCGCTACCGTTGTAAGACGTCAACAAATCTGCATTTACTTCGCTCCATCTTTTGGATTGAGCTTCCGAGACTAGGAGTCCACATGAAACGTTTTTTATACCATAGTGAAAATACACGCTATGTATGACAGTGACAGCTGTCACCGAGATGCTTCATGGACCAAGGACGTCGTGCCATTCGGCCTTGTTGATGTGAAAAAATTATTTGTTTGAATATACCGAAGACATTCACGTAAGTCTCCTTTATATATTTCTATGTTTCGGGGAATTTGTGCGCTTCTTCTTCATACACGCTGTGTGTTTTGGAAACACATATTATAATGTATTTTTGCATTTATATGCTATCGGTACTAAATTCTCGTCTTCTATTATGACGCTAACTCCAATAGAAACGGATGACTCATCAAAATTTAAACTAATTACAGTCCGAACTTTGAAAAAAAAAACCAAAGCTTAATGCGAGTCGAATATTATCTATACCTCGGTGGGATCCCTCAAAACCCACTAAGTCCGTAATGTAGGTAATGTTTTCAATTTGTAGGTAACGATTCTTGCATTGAACAAATGTTACCACTTATGTAGCTTTATTTACGTAGAAGGCGTAATGTGATTTCGTGGACTTATATTTTGAGATCAAATTGTTTAGATGAAAGCTACTAAAATAAAGATTTATACAAAAATAACATAGAGACGAGTTACCTTTTTATTCGCGGCACCTTCTAAAAGTACTTATACAAACAACTTAAAGAGAGGTAGGATAAAAATACCAATTCAATTTGAACACAAATTTGTCTGGACACCTGTTTTTGATTTAAGAAACTATGCAGCTCTTTTAAAGCTTCAAAAATAAGAGAAGGAGTACATAAAATCAGAATGTAAAGGATGTATAGTTCTAATGAAGCGGTTGAAATAAGTATTTTTAAATTTTAAAGTTACAACAGCAGAAGTCGAACGTTACGTAACGATATTTTTATGGTTGCTCCTAATAACTTTAACATCCACCTGAACTTGTTTATAGCATCAATTTGACTACGGATCATTAAGCGCGCCGATGCCCTGATTGATCTGTTGGTATTATCAGAAAGTTCCCAGAAAATGTTACGTATATATTTATTTTGATACAAGCGCTAATTAACTAATAAATATTGGTATCTTCGAATCGTTCTCCGGTGTGGAGTTAATTGATATTTATAGCTGCATCGGTTTGAGATACGTTGTCGCTTGAAATCATCCAACCCGACACCACTTGATAAACATATAACTTTTGAATCAGTTAGCCCTAATTAAAAAATGTATCTAACTTAAAATTCATGCAATAAAATACAATGCACGTCCCAAGTTCCAGCCACTACACTAGCTAAGGAAACATAATATCCTCTCTTAAAGATTATCTTAAAAACTAACCATGCATCGCAAGTAAGTAAATCTCTGTCAGCTTATTTTTATCTGTCATAAACGAACTAAGACTGTTATATATCATTCGCGTGTTATCTACAATCTGAATAACTGACCAATGGCTCACCTAATGCTCAGCAAATGGTATGCGTATTGAGAGCCGTCAGTTTATAAGTGAGCTGGAACCGGCTCTTTTCTTTACTTTTGAAAGTACAAGCACCTCTTACTATTAATCAAGATAGAACAATTTCCTAGAAGCTAACACTATAATCGAGACTTTATAAATATTCCATTTCCAAGTAATGGAGCGGATGCGGCCACAGTCGGCTAAACATCTGCAACTTGAGTTACACCGGCTGCCGTTCGTATAAATTAGGCCTTTACATTACACTATGATCAGCGTAGTAGAAAATTAAAACGTGCAAGTAACCAGGCGCCCCTTCAACGTGTATACATAATTACTGACAGTGGTGAATAGATTACGAATGCATTAGTATAATTTATCTTACCTGTGGTCTCGCAAATGATCCTGTCTTCGGAATGCTTTCCCGCAAATATCACATGAGTAGGGTCGCTCATCGGTGTGTGTCCTTTCGTGGATGAGTAGATTGTAAGACTTTGTAAATTGTCGGTTGCAGAATTTACATATAAATTGCTTCTTAGGCCTTGAAGCTCTTCCCGGTGCTCGTAGCAGTCTTCTATCTAAGTGCGGATGTATTTGGTGTGGACCAGCACCAGGTGGAAATAGTCCAGCGCCTGGAAAGGTAAAACTTCCAGGAGTTGTAGGGGATGGTCCAGGTGCTCCTAAAAATGCACCTGGAGGACCATAAATAGGCGGTTGGGAGGAACCATCGGACATCATTCCATCCATTGATGACGTCCTGTGATGAGGTATAAGCATTGCGGCTGCCGCTTCTCGTAACGCCACTTCTTTACGCTTCTCCACCATCATGGCCATAAGATCAAATGAATTCCTTTTTTGGAAGTTACCAGAATTTCTGTCAGGTGAACTCTTTGAAGGTTCTGCTCTTTCTCTTTCCATCATTCTTTCCCTATCCATAATATCGGAGGGGATTAAAGCTGGATGCATTTCATTGGTGTATATCACAGGATGCATAGACCTTGTGGGAACGACGGGAACGAAAGCGGATGATTCGCGGTGAGTAGAAGTAAGTAAGGAGCCAGTGTTTATTTGCCTATGGTAAGGTAGAGGAGGGGATTCAAAATTTCCGGTAGCATTTCTACCGCTCGAAGAAGGTCTTTGCTGAGCTCTTTCAGCAGAACTTGCAAGGAATTGGTCATGTCTTGACCTAAGTGGGGCAGTTACAGGAGGGTCTGCAACGGGACGAGGTGTCGATTCCCTAGACACTACTGCTCCACCGGTGTCCGACATCTCGTTTGGAAATTCATCTGAAAAAGAGAATATAAACGTAAACATTTTGTTAAATTAGACAACACCTATTGCTTATATCATAAGCATTGGGCGTGTACTTAATCACAAAAGTTTAATATGTACATTATTTAAAACGGAGGAACAGACCAATACATGTTTCTGAGTGTACTTGTTATCTATATAACTTTCACCAGATCGTGAACAAATACGATTCCAACAAAACGCTTTTGTTAGTTATAAAAACAGGTGTTGAATTTTAAGATTTATGATACTAGTAACATGCTTAATAAAGAAATGAACATAATATTATTTGAGATTAACCAATTATTATTATATAAATCGACAAAATTTTTTGTTCTTTCTGGTTTAAAGGCAAATAATTGAAGGCAGTATTCAACTTGACGACTCTGTAAACAGGGTTAATTTTAAAACACGAAAAACCTCTTAGGAAGTGATTCTACCCATCAGAAGGAACAACTTTTATGATTGGACTAACGCTGAAATCGCGAAAATAAAACTGCTGTATCATACTAAAAGTACATCAGTTAATCGACCAAAATGTATGAAACAGCTGATTTTTATTTCGCGATTCCAGAGTTGGTCCCGTTTAAAAGTTGTTCCTGTTGATGGGCAGTATCACCGTGTTTTAAAATTAACCCTGTATAATAATACAGAGGGGGAAAAACAGCCCTGGCTGGGTTTCTAGTTGGTTCTTCTGAGTACAAGGTCTCCTGCCACAGATTTACGAACTGATGGCGTAGCTTCTAGACGTTCATGAGTGCTTGTCCTATAATAGCCTAAACAGAATAAACAATTTTAGATTTTGATTAAAAATAATCTAGTAAAAATAAAATTATGCAAAGAAGAAACGAATGCCAATCAGACTGCATTTCTCATATTGTTATCATAGACATGTTATTGCTAATTTATGCTGGCTATATTAGACTTAAGGAGTTATCTGTCATTCTTATGCTGATTATATCTATTCCAAGCCTCATGAATATTTCATTAATTTGCCTTGGCTTCTGTAGTATATTTTTTTTATGTTTTGAATCAGCAATACAATATCGCAATAAATTAATCGGAAGGCATATTATTGCATTGTTTTCTATTTTATTTACCTTATATGTATGGGGATGTGGTAATTTTAGTTTATTTAAATTTATTGATATTTTTTATTTTACATTAAATAAAACTAAGCCACATAGAACATTTATAAACAAATCAGCTGAAACAATCTAATGAAAGGAAGTTTTAATTTCGGTTTTGAGGTAAACTTCTTTGTGTATACCATTTTATGGTACCAACACTATTCCTTAGTAACAATATCTTAATACATCACGACCGAAAAACAATATTAACAGACGTACTTTGCATGCCTTGTCAATCTTCGATCAACAATTCTATAGATAACCAGCCATGAGGTCAGCGAGTAAAATCCATTTTGGTAAATATAGCCTCACTTCAGGCGTGAGATCTTATTTTAAATTAGTTCGGTTAATAAAAACTAAGTAACCAATCGACCAATAGCTGGTAAAAATATTTTATTTTGTGGGTCATAAGGTTGATTTCACATTTTCCATTTTTTACCTCTATCGTTTTTTTTCCAAGTATTAGATATACTTTACAAAAGGAACAAGAGTTCGTTTTGTAAGACAAAAGGTCATATGTGCGAAATAAGATTTTGTTATTTATAACCTAATTCCTTTGTGATATAGTTGTTATTAGGTTCAACTTAAACTGTGTTCACTGGGAATCGAATGTAGCTGCGTAAGTTTAAACATACACAGACACGTTTTAGCTTTGATTTTATATGCAGCCCGTTATCTATAGAATTGTAAATTATTTATACTGTTTTTAAAACATTCCTAATGATAAGTGATTCCTATTCCGAGACTAACGATGGACATACTATTTTCATCTGAAATGATAGTCGCAGGGAGGATAATAAAACTTTTACTGCTCGGTCGCTTGTGCTTTCATAGTTTCCGGTTTCTGTGCCTTTAGTGTTGAACACAAATATACAAGCTGCATTAAGATAATATTAAAACTACAAATATTTAACCGTTTTATTAGGAAAAAAAGGTCTTCATTTTTTATTCTTCTCAATTCTTTCGAATATCTATATTTAGAATTCGATAAAAATACTCATCGTCAGTAAATAGACAAACTGTTATAAGGCAACTTGATCAATTTGTCAACTATACTATCTCGAATTTATTGAAGAAAATTTTAAATATTGTTAATATTTAGAAACTGTACAGAGTCGAAAATAAATTTGTATTTTCATTCACTGCTATCAATATTATTCATAGATTTTCTATAAATCAAATCTTTCTAAGTAAATTACAAATATCAACATGAAATATATCACTAATCATACGACGCCAAAGAAAAAAAAGTATACTCGTCATTTATAGCAACTACAAAAGATTAATCTCAGAATCAATTTCTCAGGCGAGATCGAAAAAGAAGGCAAGCGGACCCACATTTCACTGAGCGTTGCCCGTTCTACCGTAAAAGCCTTCTGATTGTACATCTGTCCTTATCACTCCTACAGACTCCAGTGTTCTGTCTTGCTCGCGCTACGGCTATGCTTGATCGAGTTTCTACCATCTTACTTGCTCCGAAGCAGTAAAACTACTTTTATCTCTCTTTCGGAACGAAAACTTATAGATATGAATATGTATGCAAGCACAACAGTAAGTAATGGTCTCTCCGATGTAATACCGGCCATTTCAATAACATAAAACTTTAAAATGGAATATTCTTAAGTTGCTTGGTAGTTTGAATTTCTTATACTTGTAAAATGGACAGTATTAAAGAATTTTATATGTGATCTTTTAGGCCACGTTGTTTGAAAGATCGTTAAGTTTGACTATAGTCAAAGTCACGTAAAATACATAGTAAATTTAAGCTTACTTTAAACTTTACATTTAGTTTGCAAGCCATTACAGTATTAAAATTGTTATCCTCCAAATAACTCTCAAGTTAATTAGTCATTGATTATTTCTCAAGCTCATTAGTGAAATAAACATCAGTTAAGTTATTAAAATTTATGGACCGACATTAACGATTTACAAACAGCGTTACTTTCATGGCACCGCCGTTTAACACTGAATATTTCATTGCGATCTCTATATTATTCAAGCACATATTATTACCAATCTTAATTAGTGCAGTCGCCTCGTATACAGATGTCAAAGTACAGTACGTTTGACACTTCTTTGAAACTACATACACACATAATAGATGAATGTTTACATATTAATATATTCATGTTATGAAAGACCATTGAAAATACATATATGATCATACATTTTTTAGTAGTTTTAATTGTTGGTGAAATACACCATACTACACAAACTTTTTACAATTGAGATTTAATGCAACGTTTGACTAAATTTAAAGAGTCTGACGTGGCTCTTAAGTTCTTTTTCGAGACCAAAAGTAAGTAATATTTTAACAAAAGAATCAACTTCTTCACTAAAATGCATCAGAGCTTGACAAAAATTATTAAAATAAATATCACAACTCTTTCCAAACCTTAACTTAAAGAGCCTCACTTATAAGTACCTCATAATATTTAATTTGAACCTAAAATTTCATTGACAATTTATATATTAATGCGTAACTTACTTAACCTAAGTAATTAAGTTACGATTACTATATTGACAATACCTAATAATAATTATACCTTAGGTATTGTCAATATAGTAATCGTAACTTAATTACTTAGGCTAAATCGAAAATTTAGTGTACCTATACTGTTGAACTTAATATGATTAACTACGTCAATTACAAGGAAAATGAACTGAAATTGTTTTGAGGACAAGAGAGTTTGTAAGTAGTTTGTGAAACAAGTCACGTAAATTCTTATAATAATATGTCTGAACACAGTTAACAAAGGAACGGTAGTAAAATTAAGTTAGCAGTCACCAATAAGCAAAACAGGAAAGTATATCGTTGAGTAATGCTACAGCTACAATAATAACATTGATAACAATAATAAATATTATAAGATGAGCTACAAGCTAGAATTTTGATATATCCGCAATCGTATCGCATCGCCAAAGTTTAATCGTAACGAAACAATTACGAATTTATAAAAGTTCTTGCGCCTCTGCATTTAATAAGTAAACAATCCAGAAGTAAGGATTTCGGCATGCCGGTTTGTTTGTTAGTAAATCACCTCCACAACTGCATCTGAACTCCCCGATTGAATCATAATTATTCAAAAAATTAAAGCCGAACCGAAATAAGTAGCTGACAAACAGAAGTCAGTAAATTAATAAATATGTAATAGAGCTGTTTGAGTACGATTTTGAGATGCTGTTTTGTATGAAAACAGTATCTCAAGATCGTAGTTTCAAAGTTGAGAGCGTTCTATTAATATGGGCCTTAGAGTAGGCCTTTAAAAGCGCGGGTGCGTCAAGAAGCATTTGTGCAGGCTGTCAAGGTGAGGATGGCTGGTGTGATAAATCTTAGGTAGGGCGTAGCAGATTTGACGCTCCAATCAGAGCGCCCGCCAAGGGGAAGTAAGCACCCCGCAGAAGATCACAGTAAAACAACAGAGCAAGGTTCCAGGGCTCCACGGGGAGGGGATTGCGTCAGGGTGGGCAACGGTGCCAGTGTTTTTTTTTATTGTGTTGGTATCGCAAGCGTCTATAGGCTATGTAAAATAGTGCAGTATTATCGATCGATGATATCGGATTTGTTATTGCGATAAATCGTCCTACTTCTATTGCGACGTTATTATCGCAGCAGTGTGTAACTTCGTAGCCATCCTAATAAATAAGTAATGCACTAAAACAGATATCGCATTAACGCATCAGATATTATCGACTGATGATAACACGCCTTCTGAGGTTTCACTGCTGCACCAGCTATATTCGTGTTGATCAGGACTCTACAAAGATCAGGTGGGGAGTCATCTGATATTATAAAAGTATAGGAGACATTTATGTATAGGTTGACGGCAAATGTCATCCATTTTATTTTTTTTAACACACACACCAATTAGCCTAACCGGTATAACGGATAGAATACAATACATATACTAATACCACATATATAAGCATACTTATATAGAAAGTAAACACGACTGGAGTACAAATGCTCGTATTGATCAAACAAACATCTGCCCCCATCGGGATTCGAACCCGAGACCTCCCGAGTAGGCGACACCTTGAAACCCGCTGTAGAAACCACTCAGCCACGGAGGTCGTCATTGAGCCAAATTGTAGAAATTGTAATACTACAATAATATCTTAAGAATGTTTTAAAAAGCTACATTTTACTATATGGTATTTGTCCCAAAGCCGACAATGGACCAGACACGAGTAGAGCTTTCTAGCTCGATACAATGCGATGCGAGAAACGATTTGACGAAAAGCGGGAAGCGAGTATTTAGTTCCGATTAAGTTAATGCTGGACTATAAGCTAGTGTGGAGGCTCTGCGTCGGGCGATTATTCGCGCCACTCGCTCGCAGTAACAATCCGGAGAAACATGCACGCGCGCACGTTTTGAGGCAAGCGAGCATCCCTGAGCCAGTATAGCTGAGCGAGTATTATCTTTGGTAGCTCTAGTCTCGCCACCTACTATTAATATATGCATCTCTTTTGTTTACACGGAATGTATATCTAAAGCCGGATCTTCAGCAAAAGTTTTTAAAACATTCAACAAAAACACGTACACAAAACTTTATTTCTGAAACATGTTTCTCTACACGCACCGCCTACTGCTCACGTGGCTGTCGTACACAAAATACACAGAGCTACGTTCAGAAACTACGGTCCACATGCAAAAATGTCTAATTCGTCAAAAGTTTTGAACATTATATGTCAAAATTTAAACGTCAGACTAAAAAGTTGCACTCGGACCGTGGATTTGGAACGGAACCACCGTTAGCAAGTTGTCAAAAAATTGTAGTATTCAACGTTTCTGGAACGAGAAAACAGCCGATATTTGCTTTCTTGCTAGCGGTGGGATAACTGCCTAACCCTACATTTACGAGTAGGTACAGTTTGTTGTTAGCATGATTTAATTCCATGACAAATACTTAGCTGGTTGATTCTGTCACAGAAGCTTGTCTTACTACATTTGTCATTAGTCTGTCCGCCCGTGGTCCTCCATTAGAAATTAAAACATTGGCCTTTATACCTAATAAAGGAATGAGAAATAATATTCATGAGTTCTTCTCGATATTCAAAAAGGCTGCGTAGTTGCACCACAATGCCAGTTAAAATTAAATTTAAGCATAACTTTGACCAGCCTCGAAGACTTGAACAGTTCTTATCACTGTCAAATTATGAGCTCATTTTGACTATCGTTAAATGGTGCAACCAATTTTTTATCTACCCGGTACTTTAACTGAACTGTTATATTTAAAGTAAGTTGGTGCACATACGCACTAAAGTTTTGAAGCCATTAATAAGAACTACATTTGACTTCTAGTCAATTTTTAAATGCGATTCGCCAGAGACAACTAGGAATATAAAGTGTACAATCTCTTATCCATTAGACAAGTCCGTCCGTCAGTCCGTGGTGCTGTTTCAGCGGCCAAACCGTAAGAGATAGATATAGAGAATGTTTAAGTTATAAGTTAAGAATAGTCTGATAAGACTACAAACCGGATGTGAGTAACGTAGCACTTCCGGTTTTCGAGAAATCACGTGATTTCTATTTCAAACGAAACCACACAAAATCTCCGAAGTTCTCAATTAATTAAATACATTTCTTTTTTTTTTGGTGAACATTTGGTTCACTGGTTTGCTAGTTATAAATAATTTGTAATTGTATTTAACAACTAGAATAACGCCAACATTAGCATTTGTAAGAAAGACGCTAAAGCTGGGCCTGATTCCACAATGTTTCAATTCACACTTTTTGAAAAGAATTATTAATTAACAAATTGTATATTTATGCAATTTCTGAAGCAGGACCGTACACAATAATTTGTATCATTCATAAATACAACATTCGTAACATTATCATCAATAAAGAATTACTCTACTCCATATTGAGTTCTTCCTGTTATAGTTACTAATCCTTGAACAAGTGCTATATAAGTATATTCAACCTTATTGCAGGCAGAAGATTAATCCAAATCAATTGCTTTCATCAAAAAAAAAGAAATTCTTTCCAAAAATCATTTTCTAATTAATTCTCATATGTTCTGATTTAGCTCTACAAACCACATTATATTTTATTTTACATCTTTATTTCACCATCAGTTATCATTTCATTTTTAATAGTTTAAATTTTAGAAGTGTATTTACTTCCAGGTACAAGGAAGCATTTTAATGTCATTGCCTGATACAATTACTACTTCAATTTTACTGAAAATGGGCAGCACACCTAATCTACTATGACGCAAGTAGATCAAACGTTTACCATAAAGGTGCGAATGTACCATTAAATTGCCGCTGGCGATATTATCTCTGAGTACCTATACTTGTAACATTAAGTATGTCTATTAGAAGCAATTAAGTTTATTAGCGGAATATCACGCGGTATTCCTTTTTTGCCCCGCGAGGTTTCAGTATGATTACCATCGTTTCAAACTGTCGCGATAAGATTGCTGCTATCAGTTGATGGTGAAGATTAACTACTATTTGTTTTGTAATGATAATCTGTCGCTTCTACAGTTGTGCAGGTAGTTACGCTGGAACCTGTAAAAGCATTCCATTAGCATAGTGATAATCGATTTGAAACCATTTCGAGTTTCGCTTAAAGAATTCTTATTATACCTATTTTGCTGTTATTGAAGTCATTATGTCCAAACACAGTTTGCATGTTTTAAAGTGTTAAGAGCAGTCATCAAATTTAGCTCTATTTGGTAGTAGAAATGTTATTAACAGGTTTAATTTGCATAAACCATTAAGCAATATCAACGATATTTTAAATTTTTACATAAAGTAGAATATTATTCATAGCAAGATATTAAGTGCTGCAATTAAATATTAACAAAATGATAAGTTTAAGACAATACAAAAGCGTAAAAGTAGACAATCAAACAATGATACGCGATAATTACTGCGAAACACAGTGGCAGGAAATGTTAAGTGAACGCGCCGCTATAAAACATTAGAACAATGGAGTAAACCGCAGGTCCGTTATACTGAGAACTGTTTTTATTCACTGTGGCAACATCTGTGAGGAAAACAATAACTTTGGAAGCGTCGACCACACAAAACAGGTAGCACGACGATGCGCACCCCGCGTGCCCAATTTATTCCACATCCGCTGTATTAAATTACAAAGTTTCATATAGAATAAAAAGTTTTGGAGAACTCACAAGGCGATCAGTTGCCCGATGAGTTGTGAAACCAACCCTCCAACAGTCAGGTAGTCAACCCACGAAGTTTACAAACGGCGGTCGCTCACGACAATGGGTGCTCATTGCAATTTTTTGTTACTACATTTCACAGTCCAACCGCAGAAGTGAAACAGGTGGATGGATAGATTAGCAGCGCGCACAATACACGTAGATTGTGAGCCCATAAAACAGTTAATAGTTATCGCACTCAGAGTTACAATTGTCTTTATCACTTTATCACACACTTGGTGTTCACAAAAACGATGCACTATGAGTTTGTTCACTGTAATCCAGTTGTTGTGTCTTTGGTAATTTCTCTGTGTTTCTGTATTGAAAGGTGCGCGTGCGCAAGCGACACGCGGCTTGTGGGAGTCGAGCGCGCGTATACTACTGCGCCGGTTTCGAAGGCGGTAGCTCCGGTCCCCTCCCCTCGCGGACCGAAGCCTTCACTGTTTTTACTTTGGGAGCGATAAAAAAGGGATATCGCTGCATTGTTTATTTTTCTTGTTAGTAGCTTATAATATGTGTCGTGTAAATTAAAGTCGCCCTCCAGTGTCGGCTACGAGTATAAACATCATGAATTTCGACCGTTCTTGCTAATTGACAGGGGTTGTAGCCTTTTTTATCGATAATAACGCGCTTTTATTGTATTAATGAAATCATATTCTTTTAATGATAGATTAAGAAAATTTAATATCTTATATAATATATTGCGAATAAATATAACCGATGCCGTTAAATATATAAATGTGGGAAAATATATGAAAAAAATACCTATGAGAAATGATACACTTTCAATACTTTGAAGTAAAATTAATATTTCATAAAATACCAAAAAAAAAACCTAAATGGAAACTCAGATCTTTCAGACATGCATGGCACTCCAAATAATAATTTGACTTTAAAGTACTTAAGACTTAAGGAAAGAAAACGTAGTTCTTCTTAATTTTTATTGATTTTGTTTTCATTAAGTCGGTTTTTGTTTAAAGGTGTGTGGACCTTAATCTCTCTATAATATTTCGTAATAAACTAAACATGATATTGTGTTCTGTTCGTATTTGAGGAGTTCCGTTGTTTATTTCCGAAAATATTCATCAGATCTTTGCCAAATTAATATGCGACTGAAAAAAGAATCATTAAAATCTGTCAACAAAACTCAGACATATGCGCGAACAAAAATAAAAAAATACGATGAATTGAGAACCTCCTCTGGTGCTGTTGCTTTCGTCTAAGTAGAGTTTTGTAATTTCGATAAAAAAATATCCCTTATTTCATCCCCTATTTCCCCCCTCACAAAAAGTAGCCTATGGCCTTCTCAAAGGCGCTGCAAACATATGAAAATGTAATAGAGTAGTTTTCGCATATTATCAATTTCTACCAGGCCACCCAGAAAGTTTTGCGAAAAAAAATTTTTATTTATAGGACACTGGCCACTTGTAATTATTTTGAAAACTTCGATTATTTAAAAGTAAAAATACCACTGTTCGATTTTCAAATTTTCCTCCGTATTTTTTCGAGAGCCAATTAAATTTTTCTTGTCTCAGTACCAGGCAGTAGACGGGAGTCACTAGCAGTTCAATGCTTAAAAAAATTGTATGTCGGGATAAAATGAAAATATGTACAACTTTTTAGTAAAATTATTAAATGTGCTGGAAAAACATTTTGTTAAAAAAAGTGTAAAAGTTGGTGAAAATGGAAGTGAAATTTTAATGGAAGGTTTGCTAGAAAATTGAAAATTCCTATTTGGCCTGTGGTATGAGTATGTAAAAGTAAAATAAATTATTGGCGTGAATTCTTGAGCGAGTTTGACATTGTACTATGATATTACGGATTAATTATCTTGGTCACAATCAGGCATTGATGGACTTCCGTATTTTACACATTCAGTCGTAAATACCTCTTTTGTTGGCCGTTGCTGTAATGTACTATAATCATAGTAATTGTGGCCAAGTTTTGTAAAGAAGTAACATTTCTCAATTATTTGCGCGGAAATTAAAAGTAAGTAGTACCTATTTTAGGAAGAACTTTTTATTTGAAAATACAGTAATATGGAATACATTTTTTGTAATAAAAAGTGGACTTCCCGAAGATTTTTTTTGTGGAGGATAATTTTAATGAAGTCAAAGTCTGTTGTAAAGTGTCTTTAGTGTGATTTAGTACGTCAAAGTTTTGATGGGTGATCGATGGTGCTACTTCAATACAGTACTACTGCAATGCAGAAAGTGGGTCTGATAGCGCTATCAATGCCGTATAAGCAGACACCCGGACAAGATACAAAAAATAGCGAAACGAGAGAATGGAAAAGAGCTTATAGATATAAACCAGAACATTGCTAAACACAATACGAAATATTTTTTTATATAATAACAGTCATTTGTTTCAATAATATTTATACTTTATTTTAGAAAAACTTTTAACTCAATCAGGATAGGAACCAATGACACTCTTCTTTTTAGGGTTGTATGTATTTTTGTATGATGTATCATAAAAAAATAAAAACAAAAAATTGTGTACAAAAAAAATTAAGGACCACCATTAACATTTAGCGGGGATAAAAAAAATAGATGTTGTCCGATTCTCAGACCTACTGAATATGCATATACAATTTCACGAAAATCGGTTGAGCCGTTTCGGAGTTGTTCAATTACGCACACCGTGACACGAGAATTTTATATATTAGATATATAATAACCTAGTCCAGCCATAAGTTCTGTTACAAATGAAAATGCATTTTTTTATTGAAGTAATGTAATGTTATTAAAATTAATACCTACATATAACTATCAGCAAAAAAATAAAACTATTCGAAACGGCCACCATTGGCTTTTACATATAGGCCTTTAATCTGTTTGGCCACGAATCTATGGATTCACGCACTATTTCCAAAGGAAATTTCGCCACTGCTTGCTGCAAAGATTCTTAAGAGACTCAATGTCGCCGTGTCGCTTAGAGCAGGCCATGTCCTCTAAAACTGAACATTATTTGAAGTCTAACGGGTTGCGGTCTGGGCTAGATGGCCAGTCTTCAGGTCTTATAAAGTCCGAAACGTTGGTTTCAAGCCAGGCTTGGGTAGTTTGTGCCTTGTGACCAGATGCAGAATCCTACTGGAAAGTCCATGGTATATTTTTACAAAATGTATTGCTTAGAGGTTTCACAACATGATCCAAGACTGTATCAAGATACACTTTGACTGCAGTTTTCACTCCCTTTTCACAAAAATTAAGTTTTGTTACTTCTTGATAACACACGCCCCATCACTGACGCAGGGTGATGACCATGTTGTACCTTTCCGACTACTTGAGCAGCTTCTTTAGAACTGTGAGCGTACACTTTAGTATTTTGCTTATTGTAGTGTTCTTCAATCGTGAATTTTTTTTCATCGGTAAAGAGGATATTTCAGTGCTTTTCACCTGCGTACCGCAACAGAAGGCGTTTCGATCGATCCACTCTTTAATTGTAAAGATTGATTTAGTGCATGTCCTGTATATCGACGATAAGCACCGAACTTCCGGTCTTGTTTAATTGTAATAAGCGACAGAGTCATTAGCGGGAATCTTCATTTCTCGCGATAAGATTTTTTGCATCCTAATGGAGTTTCGAGAAATTCTGGCTGTAAAAGCATTAACAGCCTTTGTAGTTTTAACAGCACGCGGCCGTCCCGATCTGTTCTGGTTTTCGACAGACGAAGTGTTGTTGTATCTGTTGGTAGTATGATATACGAACATACGGCTGATACCAAGCTTTTGAAGTGTCTGAATATGACCCACAGCTCCATACCCACTTTGTGCAAGGCGATCACTGAAATCCTATTTTCTTTAAAATCCCATTACATATTGTAATTTGATAATGAACACGAAAAATTATGTGAAATGGCGCAAAGTAGAAAGAAGTTTTAAAATAATGTACATGTTCCCAATTCAAAATAATTAAAATCTTGAAAAAAAGAAAAGTTTTTATGTAACAGTATTTATGGCCAGACTAGTTAAATATAATTTAGTATAAACCACAACAATAAAATTACCACTATAAAAACTGCTAACTCGATCAGTAATAATAATTAGAAACTAATCACAATCGAAATGAAATCCAAGTGATAAGATGTCTCTACGAAGCCGCTACCATGTCTGTCCAAGTATAGAATCAGCAAACAAGTTCCATACCGTTGCATCGTGAAGTGAGACAAGGGGACTTTATTTCCCCGAAATTGTTCACTAATGCAATGGAGGATATGTTCAAGACGCTGAACTGGAAAGGAAATGGCATCCACATCAATGGCGAACGCATCTCTCACTTGCGATTTGCAGACGACATCGCCATCATGGCAGAAACCCTGCAGGACCTACAAAAAATGCTGAATGACCTGGCTGACTCTTCTATATGCATCGGCCTATGGATGAACTTGGATAAAACCAAGGTCATGTTCAATGAACATATTCTACCGGAAACGATTGCAATACACGATGCCGCTCTCGAAGTTGTTCAAATATATATATACCTCGGGCAGACATTGCAGTTAGTTAGAAACAACTTTGAGGACGAGGTGAATAGAAAAATTCAGCTAGGTTGGGCAGCATTTGGAAAGCTACGCCAAGTCCTGACACCGTCGATCCCACAGTGCCTAAAGACGAAAGTCTTCAATCAGTGCGTCCTACCTGTGATGACATACGGAGCCGAGACGTGGACACAGACGGTACGGCTGGTCCACAAGTTCAAAGTCGCTCAGCGCGCTATGGAAAGGGCTATGCTCGGCGTTTCTCTGAAGGATCGCATCAGAAATGAGGTAATCCGACAGAAAACCAGAGTCATCGACAAAGCCCACCGGATTAGCAAGTTGAAGTGGCAGTGGGCTGGCCATATTTGCCGATGACCCGATAACGGTTGGGGGTAGACAAGTTCTGGAGTGGAGACTGCGTCTAGGCAAACGTAGTGTAGGACGTTCTCAGACACGATGGAGTGACGATTTGCGCAAGGTGGCTGGCAGGAGCTAGATGCGAGTAGCCCAAGATCGATCTGAGTAGCGTGCAATTGAAGAGGCCTATGTCCAGCAGTAGACTAGGATAGGCGGTTGATGAACTAATCACAATTAGTCTCTAAATTTAATATTAAAGATATTTATCTATAAGAGAGTGACAAGACTCAATCCTAAGTTAAACCCTAATAAAGGCGCCTCTGCACTGGCTTGGTGCCTTCTAGATCTGGATGCTCTTCAGAAAGTATAAGATATTTTTTTTAAACATTTTGTTTTACCTTCATTAAAAAGTAAATTATTAGCGTTAACCCAGTGGTCTACTTTAGAGATGGCATTGTTCACATCTATCTTCTATCTTCTATATATATAAAACTCAATGGTGACTGACTGAGTGACATAGTGATCTATAAACACACAGCCCAAACCACTGGACGGATCGGGCTGAAATTTGGCATGCAGGTAGGTAGATGTTATAACGTAGGCATCCGCTACGAAAGGATTTTGATCAATTCTGCCCCCAAGGGGATAAAATAGGAAATGAATGTTTGTATGAAACTTTGTCAATTTTAAACCGATCGGACTAAGACTTGCATGCAGGTATAAGAAGAATCATAGATGAATATCATTGTGTATAATATAAGCCTGAGAACAAAAAGTGAAGTCTACACTTCAGCTCTACACCGAAGCGAAGCGAGGGCGGGCCGCTAGTCGTCAATAAGTGGTTGCTTTCATTTAATTTTAAATAAAAGTGAAGTATCGTCTGCAAACAATACTATGTCTCTTAAAAAGTAAGGCCATCCTTCGGAGAGAGAATCTACAATCGGTCCATCATCATCGTCCGTTCATACATTCATTTTGTACCCATTCGTTACTAGATTCACTCATTTTGATTTATATAGATTCCCTCTCCTCTCCCTCTTGCAATTCGAATTCAAAAAAGACAACGTACGCACATAATTTCAATAAGATCTGTATTTTACTATGAATAATATTCTACAATCTGAATATCCGATTTTTATTGAGAAATCTACATATAGAAGACGCTAAGCTATCGAACACATTTAATTTTATATAAATTAAAAACAAGGAAGTACCAGGAATCGAGCCCTGAGGAACACACATCTTTACTAACGATCCGGGGGATCTTTTGCCATTGATGTCAAAATACTGGATCCTTTCGCTCATATACGAGTATGACACAATGCGATCCAGAGTACTACCTTTAAATCTACCTTTCTTCGTTTCGTAAATAAAGTTTTCAAATAATAATAATAAATATTTCCAACACTCAAATGAAATACATATTTGACCTATAGTAATATATTTTTGCGTGACTCTATGCAGTTACACATGGGATTTGGCTATGCGATGTATTTTTTTAATTAATAATATAGGTAATTGATCAAATTTCCCTCAAGATGGAAAAACTCTGGAGAAAATTATAAAAAATGTTTGATTTGTCGCGTGAGCTCTCTCACTATACAGTGTAAACTCCATGTAACGTCACTCGATTTAACGACAAACTGCCTAAACTGTCGAAATCACTCGTCTTTGGTTGGTTTAGTTTGTTTTCCATACAATGCTACACTCCATATAGCATTACACATACTCTCAATAACGACAACAATTAAGTAACAAAAAGTACCTTTTAAGTTGCCAAAATTAGTGAAAATCTCGCTGTGTACGTGCTTTTGTCGCTTTATTATCCTTTATTATCGCCCGTAATAAACTCGACTGCCGGCATCATGCAAACCAAACTTTTTAAGAAATTCTTTCTTCTGTTTACAAATTGGGATTGCATGTGTAGACTGTTGTTGACCAAAAAAATTATAATACAACAGAATTACTGGTGCAGCAAAAGACGTCAGACAAAAATAACAGAATATACGCCGTCGTTCAAATAAGATTATTTTACTAACTTGAATTAACTTTTTCTTTTCATAATTCTGATTTTTCTTCTTTCTATTTAACGACAACTCTCTGAAATAACGCCATAAAATGTACAGTCCCTTTAATGTCGATATATAGAGTTTACACTGTATTTATTTTATTAGGGCCGCGGTAACCACGGTGGCCGCATAATGGTCAGTGCATTCGCCCGGATAGCGAAGGGTGCGGGTTCGAGTCCTATCTGCTGCCTAGTACGCGTGGATTTTTTTGTAACAAAAATTTCTTTAGATTTATTGAACGCTACTTATGTTTTGAATTAAGTTATCAAGAAAAGAAAAAAACACAATGATATTGTTTTTCATACTTTATTACAACGAAATCTAATATAATTACGGTCACATATATATTAAAAAATGCCGTGGTTTTAGACTTGTTAGTCTTTTGATTTGACAATGATTACAATTTAACAACTTGTTAAATCAAATTCAACTAGGTATGTTTGACACGAAATTTGGCAATTATTATGAGTTAAATAGAGTATTTTAATTTCAATCAACATACATATATCATTATGCATTTTAAAAGTATTTTTATAAAGAATACAATAATATCCAGCAACAATTTAATAATCTGCCTGACTTATTTACTGAACACATTTATACGCTATATAACATTAAATGTTGATAAATCTATAAATTATGTAATAAACACTAAATTATAATTCTCATTATAACGTGCATTTATAAATTTGCAATAATATTATATAAAACAAAATTATATTACAATAATAGTCTATTATAACACTCACTAATATACAAGGCTAATCTAAAAGCTTGTTTTACGATTCTGTTTACGTTCAAGTCTTTTTTTATTTTCTTCTATATTTAAATATATTTGAGCTTTACGTGATTATTTATATACATACTTTCGAAGTGGATTTAACTCCACATTTAATCATTCTTTTAATGCACAATTTTAAGTCACCTAGTATGGACCACATTCTAAAGGGGAAATAATTATAATTATCATACCTATCTTATGGATATCTATGTATATTTTTAAATTACACATCGACTCTGATAAACGATTATAAATTTCTGTAACCCCCCTTTAAAATAATTATTTACAACTATATGAAAGTAAATAATAAATATCTTACTTTATTATTTATTAGACTACAAATAAATTAATATTTTCACTTTTCTCGAAAATTCACAACACTGACAATAATCACTTAATAATAAATATTTGAAGAGGTTACAGTTTTAAAACCAACATTATGTGTTCATTTAAGAATTGTCCCTCACAAATTGGATCGAACCTCACATACTTACTGTAATAGTCACCACGTGATGTTGCGTTAACATTTTAACTAATATTATTATTTATCTAATCTAAGTTTACCTAATTTTAAACATATCTTCTACGTAATAATATAATAGGAATATAATTTTGGCTTCAGTTTATGTCTTTAAAATGACGAATCATCAAAATCTCTAAATATTATTATAAAACAGAAATAACTTTCTGCGTATAATTGGTTAAATGCCTACTCCTCTATGTTTTATTGATAAATCGGGCAAATTTTTGCATTATGTTTTCAATAATCAGTACAATTTTATTTATATTACCAGATTTATTATTCAAATATATCATTATCCGTTTTAATGAAAACGTTATTTTTGTCACTGTTATTATTTGCAATACTACAATAATACTGATATTTAATTGTGTATAATATTTAAGTATATTCTATTTTAGAATACCTCTGTTAAAGCATTAATAATAAATGTACTTATAATCTTCGATGCGTCGTTGCGATAATTTTAATACAATCCTTTTTGTAATTATAGACATTTTTAATAAATATAACTTTATACATCAATAATTCACCCTTGAAATTCTGTGAATCAAACAATCATTCTGGATGTTAAATTAGGACGGGAAATTCCGTTTGAAATCACACATAAATAAATTACCTTACCACAAAAAAGGTTATTGAATACACGGGTTTAAGAAGAACATGTAATACAAAATGAGCCTAAGCATTAGACCAGTATAACCTTTTGTGCTACAGCACAAATATTTTTTGGGTTGAAGTATGCTATTACCTATTTGAATTTGTTCGCCATTACCAAAACCAAGTTAAAATTGGCAGTACAGTCAGTTGCAGCATAAATATAAAACTTTGAGAAATAGATATTACAAAAAAGTCAAATTGCTTGTCATGTTCACTGCGTATCACCCATATTCGACCTGACGCGATGCCAACACAATGTGCGTACAAGATAAATGATTCTCTCTCGCTAGTGTGAATCGTGTATCTCTGGATTTTTTACGAGAACTACATAGAAACATATTTTTCGGTTTGTGGTGAATAATATAGTAAGAAAGCAGTAATAAAAGCTCCAATATTTTCACCCAGTACGGTGGTAGTTCTGTTATGGTGAATGACCATTTTTGACTTGTTGCCGAAGCAGTAAGCAGATATGTACGCTTCGAGCCGCCAATAGTTTCCTACAGCAGCGGACGCGCCGGTGCGTCGATTTCTTGCAGTTTTCGTTATCATGGCAGATCGTAAATGCAAAAATAAATATTTCCTACACTCAAACTAATAAGCCTAGTCCCAAAGTAAGCACTGTAGGCTTTTGATATGGTATACTAGGGTAACGGATAAAATACATATACTGATACATAAATAACTATATTTATATAGAAATACATATTAAAAATCCATGACTGCAAATGCTCATATTCATCACACAAACATCTGCCCCCACTAGGATTCGAACCCGGGACCTCCCGAGTAGGCGACACCTTGAAACACGGTGTACACACGACTCGGCCACGGAGGTCGTTAATAAAAGTAATTCAAAAAATATTGTTAAAAAAATTATACCCTAAATAAAATAAACATGTTTTTTTTGTCGTCTAAGTCTCTCATTACACGTTTTAAAAAGAGGAACATCTACTTCAATATTATCTTGGTCTTGTTTATTTCATTTGAATCATTATTGTTTTTTATAACTTATTATTTTGAAAATGTACATGAGACATGTCTGTTTCACGAACTATTTATTGGTTATCATTCTAGTCTAGAAATTTAAGTTAAAATGCTGTAAATTCTGTTGTAGATACATGTTGGATTGCAGATTTCAAGTGTTCTTATATCATCAATACATAAAACTGAAGAAGATATGATTTCGAAAAGGAACTTGTACTAATAATAATATTCCGCCCATTGCAATCACATAATACAACCAAAACAAAGGGAGAACATAAATAAAAAACAAAAATAAAAAGATAAACAAATAATTTAATAAGTTGGGATTATAGGAATTCGAACTGATCTCTAATGGCGTTCAGTCGTCGTCAACCGGCCTTCATCCATCTATCTATGGAGTATTCTAGTGCTGCCATCCACCTGAAAACAAAAATTAGATAAACATTCCGGCAAACCTCTTGAGCTTTTTTTTTTTTCGAGTGCCTCTAGAGGTTTTCCAAGCGGATGGCATCTCCCCACGGGGGGAGTCTCCTCTCCGTCTGGAGCCTCTAGACCACTCGAACCTTAGGGGTCAACTCAACTAGAGGACGTCTTTAAGACTCGACCCTCGGCTCTAGTTAGCCGTTGTCGTGGTTCCTTTTGAGCAACGACCATAGGCCAGGAAGCCTGCGCAGTAGCAATTTTACGTACAAAACCGTCTACTGCGCAAGTTTTGCCCGTGGTTTTGCTCAAGAAGTTTGCTGTGACCTATAAAATTATTTAAGTTAACTAGGTCTGAAGGAGATTGCTCAGCTTCCATACATGTTTGGCCTAAAGACCAATAATTATGAAAAATTGTTTCCTAGATTCGAAATCATATATAAATTACTGTAGAAACGAATATTATTGACGGACACCCCAGAGAACTTCTATAAACTATAAACACTGAACGATTTTAAGGTTATCTTTGCATATAGGTACATAGGTATTAAAAAAATAAAAAACAAATAAGTTATATAGTAAACTAGGGAAATCAAGCCAAGTACCGAAATTATATATTAGATTCAGGTATACAGAGCATGTAGATTAACAGATAGTTGCCTGTTTTTAAAGTTAATGCACAAGAGTAACTTTTAAAATCAGGTATCATCTATGCATTTCCGGTTATAATAAGGTACTCTGTGACAGAAACTGTGTAATGATTGTAAATGAGCCACAGATTAGAGAGAATTTTTAGACTCTCGTTAATTTAGTTAGTTAAACTTCATCATGTTTATATTATAACCATATTTTAGATTTTTAGTGTATCACACCTTATAATGTGTTTATGGAGTTGTTTCGCGAAAAATGTATGGCAATAGACTTTATGATGTCGCTTACCATATATAATAATTGTCTTAGCACATTTGCATGTAATGAAAATGATAATATAGTTGTGGATATTAATACCACAGTGTCATAAAAAAAATGTTTTATTTTATCGATCTTCACAACATAGATTTGATTTCATGTTATATAAAAGAACTTCGATCAGTCTTTGGCTGAATGTTACTACACCCATAGCCATTAAAAATTATTCGTATGTTTTCCAAACCGGTAAAATAAAAAGTCCTTTTTAAAATGAATATATTATACAAAGGTGTCCGTTAAAATGTAATGACTGTAAAATAAAGAATAAATTATGCCAAGAATGACCATATATGTCAATATTTTTTGTACATTTGGGCCAATTTGAGCAATCTCCTTTCTAATCTAAGCCTCGAGAACGGATGGACAGATATAGCGAAACTATGTAGGGTTTCTTATTGGCTTTGTAGACTTTGCATTCCTAAAAATAAACGGCGGAAGATTTCACAAAGATTTTCTTTCACTCCATTTCATTTTATACTTATACCAATTTGAAAAAATAAGGAGGTGAGGAAAGCACAAAGCTTAGACATCAGTCTGTTAATCTACGGCAGAAGATTTAATAGCAATGAACCGACAGATAACAGAACCAATTAACCACGCAGAGACGACTTTTTCTCTTTCCCTCTCTCGTCTCTTTTATTTCTCACAGAATTTCAAATTTTTAAAAAATTCGTCGTTATTTTAAGTAGAGTGGCATTTTAGAGAAAATCAGCGGAAAACTCTTCGGTGTGTTAAAATTCAGAGTAATCCATAGAGGGTTCGGGTATCGTAAGAGTATTTCTCAAGGTGCAGTTATGAAGTAAAAGCCCCTTAAGTTATTCTGCCGCGCTCAAGTAACCAAAAATCCCCGCTTGGGCTTGGCCGCCAAAGTAATAGCTATAAGAAATCCTTGTAGTAGGGGACTACAAGGATTTCTTATAGCTATTACTTTGGCATACAACATTTTAACTTGTAAATGAACTTCAAATTCAGGTACAGGAAATCAGTGCTCACCTCTTCCTATCCATTTCAGATTCAGTGTGGAAGTAGAAGTGTCGTTGCTTTGGCTCCGTCGGCATAACTTCGAACGCGTACTTCTTACCGCCTGGAGAACACGTCTGTATCCTATAGCCGTGTAGACACGCCATGCCTGCGACACAAAGACGAGGAAATAATTAATGGTAGTGTTGAGTAGGACTAACAAGAGGCCGTACATTTGTCCCGGACATGACGTCAAAATGTAAGAGCGGCTCAAAATTTTAAAATGTACTACTTCACATTAAATGTCGCGATAGTCGCGTCTCGTTACTCACTCACTCTTCGTAAGTCTGAGAGAGAGCGAGGCATGACATTTCATTTAAGTCCTCTACGCACTATCCATCTGTATCTCTATCTCTCCTTCCTAATCCTTGTCACTCGCACTGGGTTGCGTACAAAACATACGCTCTAGGTGCAACAAATATCTAAGTTGACATTAGCTTCATATATTTTATGTCAAAATTTAAACGTCAGGGTAAAAGTTGCACTCAGAGCGTAGGTATTGAACGCAGCGCAGGGTTGCGTTCAGAACTTACGCTCCAGGTGCTACTCGTGCACACAAACGTAATGTCGAGCTTCTGTACGCCTCAATGTCATATTTGTACTCGTCACTTCAAATGTATTGCCGAGCTTCAGTACGCCTCGCCTCATTTGAAGTGGGACATTGTACTGGCTCAGTACAAAAAAGAGGCTACTCTTACAAACTCTTTTTCAAGTCGTGTCCTACTCAACACTAATTAATGGTCTTGAATAATTATGAAATTCGTCTTTTACTAACACAATAAATATATATTATTCACAAATACGTAAAAGGTTGTGCTGTTTCTTAAAATGCTAGTCTGGAGCAAATTAATCTGTTCTAGGATAAAATTTACCTATTGAATAAGTTATCACCAAATCAGTAAGAAATAGGTACTACCAGCAGCATCAAAAATCAGCGTTATTGATAATTTCAAACAACTTTTCATTTTGTTGGTATAATACGACATCAGACGAACAATCTGATATTCCAGAGATAGAAAAATCAGACCTAATAGTTCAACATAGCAGGCCCGGCAAGATAAGAATGATTGGTACAGCATCAATCACCACTTTTCTTTTTTTTGATAATTAATGAGACGGAAAATCTAAATTCTATTACATTGTTACAACAAAAACATATTTCTGATGTCATAATAATTAATTTATCTAATTCATTAAACATTTTTGAGATATTGAGGCGTTTGAAGTTGTGCATATTATCGTTTTTTCCGTAAACTAGCTGCGGTAGAACGATCAGTACTAAAAGAGGAAAATAGTATTTGCAAATATTCTACATTAACTTACAATAAGAAGAATAAATCTACTGTTTACTTCTATTGGAAATAGTCAAAATCTTATCTAAGGGGGTAAACGAGGCGCTCAAAAATTACGATTTTTTGCAAAAAATGTGAAAGGGCTCTTAACATACATATATGGTGGATGAGGTTATTTATTAACTATTCCCAATCCCTCTCATCAATTTGGTCAGCCTTGTAGCTGGAGATATATAATCAAGAATTAAAAGTACATACATAATTGAAGACTTCAGGAAATCCCTTACCGAAAGCACTTTTACTGTTCCCTTCGCTATAGAAGTAGAGGCACGCGTCTTTGAGCACGCAGTACCTCTTCGCCCACGACTTCCACTTGGACCCGAGCTTCATGAGGTATCCGAAGCAGTCGGGCCTTGGTATCGAAGACGGTGGCAGTTTCATATTCCTCATTGTCACTTCTAACCAACCGTCGCGCTGTAACAAGTTTAATTTTGTGTTATATTTTCAAGGCATAATGAAATGACATAAAATATAATTCGACCTATCCATAGGATAAAGCCACTTCTGCATAATCCCTACTTAACAGTAGAGCGATTTGAAGTTTGTAAGATCTAAAATTGGCTTTAACTTGTATTGGTATTTTTCTAGCGTTTGATTTTTTTTACCAATCATATGAAGCATTGAGAAGCACATTATGACGCATTTATTGATTAAAAAAAACTACATTTACGGCTCATATTTTGTTATTTAATAGTATCTTATGTGATTATGTGACAATTTACTACGGACATCTTTATGTTATATATGCATATCAGACCTTATGTTTGGGAAACGTGTCAATATTATGTGAAGATATAACTTTGTTTTACAAAATTTATGTGTCCTGTCACGTCACATTATGATAATATGGCAAATAAGAAAAAAATAATCATACATTTAGTAAAAACACTCAGTTTGTAACAAAATTGAAGTCGTGCAGGCTGCTTTCTTGCCTATCCAAAAGGTACTAGTACTCTTGACTCTATATTCTTCGGAAAAACAAAAATCACATGTATACCTTGATTCAATTGCTATCTTCGAAGTTTTAAAAGTTTTAGAATAAATGTTTTTACTAGTAAAATATATGTGTCCGTTTCGCTTAAAAGTATAATAAAAGTAATTTGATAACATTTTCATATGTAACTTTATTCTATGCATAAGTCGAATTGGTAACCTAATCCAACATTTAGGTTAAAAATTGTATTTTAGGTGATCGATCTTTTACAACTAGCTGTGCCCCGCAATATTACCCGCAGTTTATTAGGGATATTTTCCCGCAGTGAAACGTAGCCTGTGTGTTAATCCAGGGTGTCAGCTAACACCATACCAATTTTCAATAAAATCGCTCCAGCCGTTTAGACGTGAAGAAGTAACAACATACACGCTCACAAACTTTCGCCTTTATAATATTAGTGTGATTCTCCATTTTCAATTTTGTAAAGGCGGCATACAAACATAGTATGCTGCTAGATAGTAAGAGGTCACTTTAGTCTAAACACGCTTGCGGCACCAGCATGCCTACTCCTGCTACTCGCATACCTGAAAAAACCTTACTATAGTCCTCACAGGTTTTGAGTGCAAAGGTAAAGAAAGAGTTTGACTAATAGAAAAATTAGTGATGAAAGTTCTTAGAGTTTAATGAAAATGGAAAAATAATGGAATTTTCGGATACCTTGGAACTGTTGGTGGACGCCTCAGTAGAATGAGTATCGGCGCGTTGACGCGCGCCGAGTTGCAGTCTCATTCCGCCGCCGCGCTGCAATCGGAACCAGTGCGATCGGCCCTTAATCTTAGACCTAAACAATATTTCCTTCAATTTAATCTACGCACCTGATTACTAGCGTCTATGGCTTGGCTCAGTATAGCGCGCCATCTAGCGGACGCCTCGGCAGAGTCGGCGGCGAGTTGCAGCCTTGTTCCGCTGCTCGTTGCAATCAGAACCCGTGCGGTTGACCCGAGTCTTTTTCAGTAAATAAGCGATTCATATTTACCTTCATTTTAGACCCAAACAACATTTCCTTCAATATAATCTACGTACCTGATTACTAGCGTCTATGGCTTTTAGCCAGTACAGCGCGCCATCTAGCGGATGCCTCGGCTGTATCGGCGGCGAGTTACAGCCACGTTCCGCCGCCGCGCTGCAATCGGAACCCGTGCGGTCGACCCGAGTCTTCTTCAGTAAATGAGCGACTTAAGTTTACCTTCACCTAAACAATATTTCCTTCAATATAATCTACGTACCTGATTACTAGCGTCTATGGCGTGGGCCAGTACAGCGCGCCATCTAGCGGACGCCTCGGCAGTATCGGCGGCGAGTTGCAGCCTCGTTCCGCCGCCGCGCTGCAATCGGAATCCGTGCGGTCGACCCGAGTCTTCTTCGGTTAGTTGGTAGTTTACTAGCATCAGCGCCCCCACTGGGTGGATACTCTGTAAATTCAAATTAATATAAAGTCAGCATAGAATTAACCCTAAATCATGGCAGATAACTATCTAAATTCCTAATGATTTTTTAGATAGTTATCGTTATAGAAAAGTTACTGATATCAGTATCAAAATTTTGCTTAGTATTGAAGACCTGTGCAATCTAAATAAGTAGTTTATCTAGCATATTAGTTCCGAATGGACTTTATCAGCAAGTGGTAAAACAGGCTCTCAGAAAGAAGCCATTCGACTTTAACATCTTCATGATATGTCACTATTATGGTACTGATTTTGATTTTCCTTCTTACAGAATCACGTTGTTAGGGATAACGTGCTATAAACCTGTCGAGCTGAGAACCAACAATTTGGCTTCAACAGCTTTTTCAAACTTGGGTACAATGCCTATTTTAAAATCTTCACCTGTTTACTACCTACTCAACAAAATCTCGTAAAACACGTACCGAATCAGTTTTGTAATAGTACAGGCAGTTGTCCCTCTTCAGCACGAACCACCGTCTGGTCCATCGGGGTGGGTGGTGAGGTCTCATAGGCGCCGCTCGCCATAAATAACCAGAGTATAAAGCGGCGGGGCCGCCTTCGTGAGCTAACGTCGCTACCACCTCGCAAGTTCTAGCAACCTAGTACATTCAGTACATTTATTAGAAAAAAAGAAAGGATTTATACATTTGTGTAAAACATAAAACACTTTCAAAAAACATATCAAGAGATATTTATTGTTTTTTTTGGCGTTTCGAATCCTTTTCAGGTCTCAAAGCCTCCTTTGCAGCTTGAAAAGGATCAGAAATCTCAAGATGATGTAAGAATTGATTAATTTCTTCGGAATAATATTCAATTGTTGCTGTGCGTGAAGCATGTGGATACACAAGTAAGAAAACGTGAAGTTATGATGGTCAGAGATACCATTCAATTAGTTTGTGTATTGAAATATTGGCAGAGTATCGAATTTGGGACAATATGAGAGACAAACACGTATAAACCTTCCCCCAAATTCAAACCATATTGATGCCATTTGGCATTCGTTGTGCTGCTATTTTTGCGATAAAGAAGAAATTCTTTGTTAAGAATTCTTTCAGGCATCTGGATGTATTAACTACGTATAAAGTTATTCTTTAGTATAATGTATACTTACATCTAATTCTAAAATTTCTGAACCCGAGTGTGCTATCTTCACTACCTCGGAGTGCGTCTTATCTAAAACATTGATCCCTGTAACAAAATCAATTAAGATCTTCATTTATCAATTAGAGAACCTGCAAGCAACGTTTTTAACTGACTTTACATATTTTATAACCATTTAGACTATTTAATTGCAGATAATATAACGATAGCTATCACGACCTCTCGACAATGTTTTTTTTTTAATATAAATATTAAACATGTAAGCATGATTTACAAAAACTATTCCGATGCCTAGTTTATGATGAATTGTTATTAGCAGTCACTTAGTTATCCGATAAGAAACTCTACAAAAGTCAAATATTTACCGATAGATTATTATTCAAATAAAATTATGAAAGCATGGTCACGGTACTCTATAGACCCTGGCAATAAGTACCAGCGTACTCACGCTCCAAACATCACCTAGTGGAGCTCTGGAGATCTTTCCCAATACTGCAAGATCAAGACTTGAATAATAGTGTAAATAAGCCTTTTGTAAATAATATTTACTTTAAAATCAATATAGTTGGTCCCGTAATAAAAGTTGTTCCTGTTAATGGGTAGAATCACCCCCTAAGCAAATTGTTGGTGTTTTGAAATTAACCATGTATATTTAAGTTTAGTTCTTAATAGAACACAATGAAAATATATTTAACAGCCAAAAAATCACTTTCAGTCCGCCGTAATTTAGTAAACAAAAACATGCATATTATTTGTCAATATTAATTTATGATAAATCGCCTATTTATTTAAGGAACAACGAAAAATAAATTGTTCTAGTCTACATTAAAAGAATATCTATTATGCCAAAGTCCTTATTGCCTTCAAAAGTTATTTGTGTTGTTTGTCATAGTCGTAAGACCTATGTACTGCGTTTATAACATTTTTATTTTAAGCATTTTTCTGCTATATTTATAAATCTAAAGAAAGCGCAGGGTTAAATCCTGTTTGATGCCTGGACCGTGTGGAGATTATTTTAAGTAGTAAAAAAATTATTAAGAGTTATTGTTTGTTTACGTTTTTTGTAAATTGTGTCCTGCCCATATTTCTTATGTAGTCACTTTATTGGTATTGAATGATGGATGTTTTTGTTAATTTTGTAAGTTAAAACCTAAGAAAGAGTAAGAGTGGTAGTTATGTAATTTTGTTTTGCTTTGCCCCTTCGTGGCTCATGTTTTTTTATAGCGAGGTAGGCAAATGACTTTACTTCCCCTGATGTTAAGTGGTGATAAAATCCATCCAAAATTTTAGCTCCATGTATTATTAATAGTTAAAATCTTATAAACACCACATGATGCAATAAACGATATCCATCTATCTAATGAGTATATTACTTTTCTATAAGGACAGTTTATTCCCGATCGATGGTGAAACGTTTTGGTCCAACTAGTTTATCCAACAGGAATAGTTTATTCTTTTGGTCAAACTGGTCAACTAGCTGGTCTTAGTAGTTAGACCAATAAGAGGAAATATTCCCTAATATTCCATTTAAATAGCCGATCAAAAAGGCTATATATGAGAATGCAAGGAATTAGAATTTGACCACAGGGTAAGTTATTCCTGTTAGACAAATTACTTGCAGACACTCCAATCAGAACAGAATATCCATGCGTGTCTCTTAAAATTATATCAGTTAAATTATGTTATTATTAATTATGTAAAAAAGTGTAATTACCATTAACAGCTATCACTATATCCCCGACTTCCAGGCCGGAAGTCTCGGCGGGTGTGTCTGGTTCGATCGCTGACACGACGACTGGCTTGCTCCCGTGGATCCTAAAACCGAACTCTTCATTGCCTCGTCTCACAATTACAGTCTTGTCGCTTTCTGGGGAAAAATCGTGAGTTTAGATAAGCTTTGTATTTAAATAAGTAAACTTCAATCTTTGTTTCCACAATAAAAGAAATCCCAATATCCGATTTTCATTGTAGAGATACTGTGTCTTCGGGCTTCAGATTACAGGTATGACATTTTTTTTTATTTGAAAAGACGCTTGCGGCACCGGAGTATGTATTACATGTCGTCATTGCCTATTCTGACCTCATCCCCAAATCCCCAACCTTGCTCTAAGCACTGGAGCTTTATTAATATTACTAACCAAAAAAACAGAACACTACCAAGAGGTAGTGTTATTTAACTGTTGACTTCTGTAAGGTGGAAGTTACTTCTCTTAAGATCGGTCAGATTCGAGCTGGAATATCATCTTCTCTTTTCATGAAATGATCATGCAGTCAGTTTATATTATGCTATTACTGTCAGAAATAAATTGATTCTATCAATTGACCTAAAATTTGCACTATCTGAATTGTGAATTGCCGACCTAGACACGATAATATATATACATAAAAAAAACTTGACCATGACACATTTCGAGTACTGAGACCGAATAAAATGCGATGTTTTGCTTTATCGCTTTCACTAAATATTTGGCAATAGCCCAAAAGACCAAAACTCGTTGTTCATTCATACCTACATTTGTACTGGCTGATAATGGCGCTAATACGCATGCAAAGCACGCGTGACTTTTGCCAGAAAGCTTTAAAGTTACTTCAATGTTATTATCGTTAATTTACAAAGTTTAATCAAAGTCAAACTTTCTTGAATCACATTGAATGCGTAAAATAATACTTTTGATAGAACATTTGTTATCCTTACCCCCCAAAGGGTATCTTTGCAGCTGTGGAGTACAACAGGCGAAAAATGTTTCACAGCATCGACATTTACAAATATATAATTAATATTGCAAAGGACTTAATTGTAAAAGTGTATATATACACTTTCCAATGAATTATTGATATTGTACATAGTTAAATTATTTTTATTTCTAGTGGTAAATGATTTTGATATGTTTAAATTGAAGTATAACTCAAAAACGTGCTATCTATTTTAGTTGATATATTTAAAATTCAGAAATCACCGGAAGGTTTGTTTTAAATTAAATGATTTCATTTTTGAATTATTGAAAGATATTATTTTGTACATCATAATCCTAAAAAGAATATAATTCGGTTTGTATAAAATCAATTAATTTGAGTAAACCTAAAGTAGCTTGGACAGCTTAAAGGCCACATGTTGTTAGTGAAAAACCAATCAATGGGTTTTTTGACATAAATTATATAATTGATGAAAATGTTTTAGGTAGTTTTATGCAATATTAAAAATTATGATATTATATTGTTAAACTTAGAAATGCAAATAATTAGATCATTAATCAAACATTCCTGATGTTCGTGGTACAAGTAATTACTACCACGCTGCCACGGTCTTACGTACTCGTAGCTTAACTAAAAAAAAACTTACGCACTATGTTAACATCAAAAAATATATCTACATAAAAGCATTATTATTAAAGGTACAAGAGAAACAAATCATGTTAGTGAATATTGTATTAATATTGAATTAATCATGTTATTTGGGTATGTTAATTGGATACATTATTACTTCAAAAAAAACAAACATAATAAAAAGGATATTTTACCACATGGTTCCACAGCAACCAGTCGATTTACTTGACATTGTCGGCACCATACCAAAAGCATCAACTTAAAAATATCTTCCAACTTCTGTCTGAGGCTCCCCTTCGAGTTGGATAAAACATCTCTGACTACAAAATAATAAATACAATGTGCAGCCGTACAATTTATCACAAACATAATACACCAGAAGAGATTTAAAAGCGAAAGCAAAAAGTTTATACTTACAAATAAAACCCATTGATGTAGATAATTCGCAATTGTCCTAAAAATGATCTTGAACTTCACTAGGTCAATGCGGTTTCACTAATGCCCCTTAACGCTGGAGCTTTATTAAACTTACGTCATCAGAACCATTTACCGATCGCTCTGAACGTGCTCCCGATACAAAATCAATATGAACGAAACCGTCCACGACGGCAGACATAAAAATATCATGTGGCCGTAGTCGCGTGCCCCGTACAACTGAGAACTGACGTGCAAAACTCTTTCAGAAATAAATTTAGTCTGAACCGGTAACGTTAGGCCTATAAATTAATTTTATCATCCAAATGCTCACACTTTACTACTGCATCTATTTTCTAAGAACATCAGAATAAGAACACTACCATACCAAGGTCAAGAGTTCCATGCAATCGACTTAATATAAATTGATATTGCGTCAGAACTCAGAACATGGCTAATAGTAGATTGAATGTTTTAGATACAAAAGAATTTTGTGACAGCCCTAAAATAATAAGAGACGGGATTGAAATAGAAACAGTGCTAGAAATAACTTCACGCGTCACTTAAGAAGTGGAATGGTTAGCGAATATGTAGTTAACGATGACATAACTATCCGATATTAATTTAAAAGTTGAATATTACTAAGCATAACTTAATAATTTACTACCAAATAGCATCACTCAGAGCTTATTAATAAAGATTTCTAACCATTTCTACTCAGATTTAGATCAGATTTGATACATTTCACACAAAACTAAATAAGTATTGAGAATAAGGTCTCTTACTCACCAAAAGTATTATCCGCTTGGCGTCGATTTAACTCTATACAAGCTCTCCTATGTACGAGTCTGTGAGTCAAAGCTACGTATCGTTTGTTGAATTCAGACTCTGACTCCGTTGGGTCATCCTTGTTGGTGTCCAGTCTTTCTATTACATCTGAAAGTATTATGAAATTCATCAAAATTTATTTAGCTAAGTACATTAGTAGGTTGTTGATATGTATCTGTATCCAAACTTTTTGAAGTAATGCCATTAAAACGAAAATTCCGAAAAAATTGAGGAACTCGTTTTTTGTTTTAAATTAATGGTGAATATTTTACCAGGAGGAATTCTTGTCCAATGGTCGTCATTCTCCGAAAGCAGTATCCAGTTTCCACACCACCAAGGAGCAGCATAGACACCCCTTTCTTCGCGGCTGCCGATTTCAGCCCCTTCTGAACTACCCGAACATTCTTCAGGTTCTGCCATCATTAGTAATATAGCATATTGATTACTTAAAGGTATTTCCTTTAAATCTTCAGGTGTCTTTGATTACTTCAAAGGCTAAGGGGATGCCTAATCTATCGGCAGGGGTGGGTCGGGTACACGAAGTGTGATATTCTGTGTTCAGGGATGAGAGAAATAATATCTTTCGTGACATCACACATTTTAAAATCTATATCAAACTACTGAACTCAGAAACGTCATTGATATTGAATATTTTCAAAGAGACGTCTCTTACTCTTGATTTATCTGAGTAAGGTCGTTATATTTTCGGTTTTAGATTGAAAATATTGAACGTTACCCTAGAGGGGTTAACCACCAGTGATAAGATTGAGGAGGTGTTAAAAAATCATGATTTTCCTGTGACGTTATTTATGGATAGACCGTCAGTACAAAATAGTATAAGGCTTTTAAATATACAATTTGTAAGTATTTATGAAAGCTAGATTGTAAAGTTCTAATAACAATCAAGCTAGTTTGTAAAGTTCTAATACTTTCTTGAGTAAAATAAAATAGATCTAATGGCGCGCCTGTAATATTCAGTTAGCAATTTGGTAAATTGACGTTGATTATTATCGTGTATACTCAGAGAAGCAGGCAAAGGAACGTAGTAAATATAGTTTTACATTAAGCGAGTCGTAGAGAATCAGCAGCTATATATAATCTCAAAGTTGTTTTTAGATATGTCCCGATGGCCATAAACGTCCATCATGGTCTAACTTACATAGTTTTTAATGCATATCCTAGAGAAGGGCATCACTCGGTAAAATTCACTACACATTAAATTTTAATTTTAGGGGTATGTATGACCTATATCGGATCCGCGCGTGAGAATAGCACTGCGGGCCCTAAAGTTGACTTTTATAGCATAGTTCTCTTTATCGTCAGGCTTAAAAAACCATGATAGAAGTAATAGCTAGATTTACGAAAAAATAAGAAAACTATAAACTTTCATTCTATATCGAGCGCAAGCAAATAAGACCTAAAAGTACCAAACGACTCCCACGACTGAATCTAACTTATTTTACTTACCATCAGGATCTGCACTAGCACTGGAACCACCCAACTTGTCCAAACTATTACCAGCGGATCGAGCAATACGCGTATCTTGGGGTTTTTCTGTTGAAGCATATTCTTCTTTGCCTCTTTCCTCAGACTGTCAATTATAAAAATAAAATCAACTTTAGTTTATTAACTAAAGTAACTAACATTAGCATAGGCCTCAAATGTAGGAAGTGATGTTAATAGAGTGGTTACTTATAAGAAAATTGCAAGAAATCGGTATCATAACCATAAAAAATACATACAATAAAACTAATCAAAAAAGCCATTTACTTTTTTAATAACTAACAATAAAAAGTAATGTGTTTTATCTATGCTGTCTTTGTGATTGACGTGTTATAAAATTTATTATGACAATAATATCGATAATTTATGGGTTAAAGAAGTGTAAGTTCAGCTATGGATGTCAATAATATAGTAAATACTTTAATTGCTTTTTCTGTAATTTGTTTGAGCATAAGCGGTTTAGAAAATGGTGAAAATGGGATGGACAGTAACTTTCGTGATATGACCCCATCGATTACAGAACATATTCTGGACACTCCTTTTCAGGTTCCAGATGAAAAATGGATCTCTAACGCGTTGAAAAAAATTGCTCATTTCTTAAGGAATTACAAGTTTAATGACTGGGATCATCGCTATTATATCGCACGACCAGAAGAAGATTTAATTGGTTATTACGATAAATTTCCAGTCCCTGTTCTGAGGTCTTTGCACTGGAAAGTATACCAAAATTGTGACAGAAGCTTTCATAAATGTATAACATATTTGGAGAATGTCATAGAAAGTGTGCCCTTTACTAGAAATAATGATGTTGTTACATTCATAAATGAAAATGCTATGGACAATGAGACGTTGATAAAGAACTTAAACTCTGAATGTGTTGAGTCTAAATTAAATTCTGAAAGAAACAGTTTTCCATTTGACAACCTCATCGAAAAGTTTCAGTGGCGCACGACAGCTTCATATTATATGTGCTGGTATACTATGTTAGGAACTCCAGCACTTTCAATGCTTGGTGATACATGTGATAATTTTGCGAATTGTTTAGATCCAGAGTTTGGACATAGGAATCGTGACCCAAGAGCTAATGATAGATATTCATTTGCATGTGCTAAGTACAGTTTTTGTCCAGATCCTTGTTGTCCACTAAAGCATGTAGGACTTAAAAATGAGTGCCATGAAAATATTGTCAATCCGTGTTTTGATGAAAATAGTAAGAGAGAAGCTTCTAAGAAAACATGCATTCTGGATAGAAAAGAAAATACGAATTTGAAAGCCATTATCACTAACAAGTGGAATGTTTCTTGTCATTGCGACAAAGTGGGTTTTATCTTTAAGTCTGAATATGGAATATGCGTTGATGTTAACGAATGCTTATCTGAGCGAAGCCCTTGTGACAATTCAACAGAAGATTGTTTAAATATACTTGGTTCCTATAAATGTATTTGTAAATGGGGATTTGAATCAGATGCAACTAATCACAAGTGCATTAACATTTCCAATTTGAATGTCGTCGTAAGATTTTTTAAATACTTCGGCATTAAAATATAAATTACCTTTGCACGGACATCCTGTCGATTACGATAATGTCTTGATTTATCTTCAGAACGATATCTTTTATCTAATTTCTTATATAAACGAGCTCCACTTGCGTGTTTTTTGGAACTAATACAAGATGGTGAATCAGCGAATCCTGCTGGTGCTGGAACTATGTCAGGCGTTGCATCTGCATATGATTCCTAGAATAAAACTCTAAATTAATCCTCTACAAATACAATTGACATATCCTATGACCAGTCATTTATTTTAAATTCCTTAGTTCACATAATTTACTGCAACAAGAAACATATTTTTACATCTGTTTGTGAAGTTCTGCTGTCATGATCATGTGTCGCAGTAACGATATGAACTTCTTTGCCACAGTGCAAACAATGAGCCTTAGCTTCGCCATCCGCCCCTGCAAAGCTGTGCTCTGTTTGTTCTGAATAAAAGACTGAGTCAGACCCTGGAGACACTGAACGGAGTGATTCAGCTGACGCTGCCTTTGCAAACTTTCCGGTGCATTCTAAAAATAAAAATATGTATTAATAGAAATAGACATTAAATTATGTAAAACGACTTAAATAAATTCCTCATGTCGTTTACCTCGGTCTTGTTTTCTGTGGTGTCTGGGTGAGGTGTTTGGACTTTTGACGTAACGCAAAGGAGTTAACCGTGATCCGGCACTGACAAGAGTTCGTGTAGTTTCAATGTCTTCGGCTTCTAGTGAACTTAAACAGGGAACCGTGGGTATAGATTGTTTTCTCCTGGGCAAACTGCCCGGTAGTGATATGCTTTCATTAGAACCGCTTTTCCTGCGGGGCCTACAACTATAACAATGATGTGAGTTATTTGAATATTATTAAAAAAAATGGTGAGCATTCCGAGATTAAAACGTAAGTTTATCAGAAAAAAAATATGCAACTAGTGAAAAGAAATAAGAATTTTATTTGATAATTGAGATAATATTGTTTTGTCCCGAGTTACGCTCTCTACTTTATACTCATACTCATATTTTTGTCTTACTCCACAGTCAATATAATTTTATTTTATATAGAAGTAAATTAAACCCACCTATATGCTGAATGATTATTGCCCGATGTGGGTGATTTTATTGAATTTGAATTAGCACCAGTTTTTCTTCGCGGACTATCTCTTA